GGGTCCTCCCATGTGTGTACATCACAAATAGTGTGTTTGGTTTGAAGAAAATGGCTCCAAGGTGTTCAACATTGCGCCGAAGTGCGAAAAACGGCGTCGGAGGGCGAAAATGGAATATAACTGTCGTGCCAAATAATTGCTGGCCTCCCACCCTCCTAGACTTCTCCGGTGAATAAAACAGAGCACCTGCCAAAAATGAACGAAAATCGATGCGAAATGAATTGCTTCGGGGGCCAAAACACGCAGTTTGGGATCCCGAAAATGAGCTGCTAAGCACCGAAAGGTGGCGTTCGGCCACGAAGTGGGTTTCTCAGACCCCAGTGTCCCTTGAAAGGGAGAAAATAAGATGTGTGCCAAAAATTTAGAGCAAACGGAGATGGTTAGGCGGTTCCCGAACCGAGGCACACGCCAACAGTCCCGAAAAACGGAAACCGGACTCCCAAAATGGCAATGACCTGCGCACAAAATGTAGCCCACGCCACTGAGAGATGGTCTACGGGACCTCTCCCTCCCCTCAGGAAAAGAAACAGAGAAAACCGAGTCTGCGTTCGCAAACCGAGACAAACACAAAGAGGGTTCGGAGTCCGGAGCAGGGCTCACGCCGACTCTGAAGACTTCCTGAAACAGAGCAACAGATATGCACTCACTCGAGCCGCTCATCGTGACTGTCTGAGTCTTAAGGTCGGTCAAAAAATGGGTGTCTACAGTTCGCCCACGTCGTCTTGACCGACTCGAAAGTCAATAACAATGACGGGAGTGAGTGTCAAAGCCAAGGAGACCCCATTTTGACAGGCGAGACTTAGAACCATCATCACAAGTAGACAGAGATATGCCCCCACAGGCGTGCGCGGCAGGCAAAAGGGCTTAAGAATGCAAATATGATATTGCAAGCGAAGATTTTGAGAGTTGGACTTACTACGCTACGCACGAAGCTCGGATTTTGAAAAGTTGGAACTTTATTGCTCGGCATGCCGAAGACCGTTACACTCCATGATCATGCAAAGAGCTAGTAATGAAGCAATTCATGCGAAATACAATGACAACATTTCTAAAATGCGAACGCTAGGCAAGCAAGAAACTCGAGCCAAACTGACCTCGTGTCGCACGAAAACGCTGTAAGAAAATTAATGGAATTCACCTGCAAATATACATGTGTGCATCGTGTGAAATAGATACACGAGGATGACATTGGCGATTGATACACAAAAAAGGTGGCACAAAAAGTGTGATCAGAGAGGTTATTGATAGACACACAAAGCGGAGAGTTGAGTAGTGATTGATACACAAAAAGGTGAGATACAAAGTGAGTGATAGAATTGCACTAAGTAGCAAGCGAGTGGATGTGATAAACACTATTGAGCAAAGTGTAATTGTGATATATCAAAGGGCGAAGTGAGCAAAGTGTGATGGATACACTAAAGGTGACAAAAAGTGTGACAAGATGCACATTAGTGAAATCAAGATATGATGGAATATTACTAAAAAGGCTGGACATCAAAGAAGTGTGATAGATGCACTATGTGAACAGGTGTGACTGGATCACCAACATGATTCAGGTGAACACAATAGTGTGATACTGGCACTCAGTGTAACAGAGTAAGTTGAGATTGATATGCTGAAAGTGAACACAAAGCTGTGATAGATGCAACTATGTGAACAGAGTATGACTGATATAATGAAATGAAACACAAAAGTGTGATAGATGCACTATGCTGAACAAGTGTGAAGGATACACTAAAAGTGACACAAAGTGTGATAGATCCACTTAGTGAACAAGTATGATTGGATAGACTAAAAAGTGACACAAATGTATAGATGCACTTAGTGAACAAGTATTATGATGGTATATTACTAAAAGCGGACACCAAAGTGTGATAGGATGCAGCTTAGTGAACAAGTAATGATGGTATACTAAAAGCGGACACAAAGTTGATAGATGCACTATGTGAACAGAGTATGATTAATATACTAAATGAAGTGTGATTGAATACATTTAAAATGAACACAAAGTGTGATAAGATGCACTATGTGAAACAAGTGTGATGATACACTAGACAGTAACAAAGTGTGATTGATTGCACTTAGTGAACAAGTATTGATGTGAGTATACTAAAAGCGGACACGAAGTGTGATATATGCACTTAGTGAACAGAGTATGATTGATATACTAACGTGAAGTGTGATTGATACACTAAATGAGTGAAGTGTGAAGAGAGTGTGATTTGTTACAACTGAGAAATGAAGTGTGATTGATTACACTAACAATGAGTAGTGCTGTGAATGAGAGTGTTGATTTGATACCTTAAAGAAATGAAGGTGATTGATTACACTAATGAGGTGAAGTGTTGAAGAGAGTGTGATTGATACACTAAAGAAATTGAAGCTGTGATTGATTACACTAAAATAAAATAGGTGTGATTGATACACCAGCGTGAACGAAGAAAGGTGTGATAGAGTGTGATTGATACACTAAATAAATGAAGTGTAATTGAGTACACTTAACTGAATTAAGTGTGATGATACACGCTAAATAGAACGATCTCAAAACCCGAAACTTCTGTTTGAATGAACCGTACATACAATATCCGTTGTAATGTCATGTGAGAAGAAACTTGATAGGGTACAAATGCAATACAATGCATGATGCTTAAGAAAAGCCAATAATATAGACCCCAAAACCCGCGTTTTAGAAAAGCAACTCATGTGGATGAGGTCTTCAAGTACAAACTCAGCGCGGTAACCGCTCTTGCCCCCCGATAGGAATCATTCCCCTGTGGCCCTTCTTCGACACTACCTTAACTCATAGGTTAACAAGGTTTGAAATAGCTGGACCCAAAGGGGGTTCCTTTCATTGTAGAACCCAACTTTGGATTGCTTTCTCTATTAATTATTCAAACTCGTATTACAAACGGCGGAAGCGAAGCCTTGTGAGATGACTTTATCGGCATTTTCTATGGGTTACACACCTAACATATTGTGTTCAGTATTCCAGATATATCTTGATGCATGCATACATGCTATCTCGCCTATGGGGCTTCCATACATTTCAGACCACGAGGACACCGCCTCTAGCTGTATTTAAAACCAGTCACTATTAAGTCTCTCCGATTAATCCACCTGTGTCTTAGGCAATCAAGGCCATATTACCTGGAAATACTCAGAAACGTCATTAGTTTACCACACCACGTCGAACCAGATTATGGTCTCCTCAGAAACTCATTGTGAAACCTACGTTGTGCCAACATGCTTCTACGGGGAATTGGTCATCTCAGGGGAGGCACTTCTGAGTACCATTTTGGCTTGAAGCAGACTTGATCTTGAGCTTATAGGAGGTAGGGCCACACTTCCATACACTTCGGATAGCCGATTCTGGCCAACAGACTTAAAGAAGGTACACACCCGGTGAGGATTTTACTATCACTTGAAATTTAAAAAACCTCCAGATTACCCCTTGACGACGTTTCCCTCACTGTCTACTGGTCGATTGGAGATTACAGGGGATTGCTTTTTCACTCTGTTTGTTGGCGACGGGGGACTTACAGCGCGCTCTCTCGATCTCTGATCTCTCTGCTGACTGATAAATTAATAATAGACTGATGAAATGAAATTGAAACGAAACAACTAGCTAGTCAACCGACTGCTTTGTCATAAACCGCTTCCGCTTCAATTCGCTTAAGCAACTCAATTCTTGTTGTTGTTTTTGTTGTTGGATCTAAATTCAGGGCTTTTCCCAATTTGAGCCTTCCTACTATCTTATTTCCCACAATAAGCCTACTTTTACGAAATTTCCCCGAATAAGCTAAAGCGTGTTTGCAACCCACGCTTTCATGAAAAATATTAAAAACATGGTTAGAAACCACGCTTTTAGTTATGGACTAATTACGGGCCAAACGTTGTAGTGGTAGTATGAAAGCGTGGTTGCTAACCACGTTTTCAATATTATTTAAAAAAACGTGTTTGCTAAAAACATTTTCAACTAAATCTGGAAAACGTGTTGCTAAAAAACATTTTCAATAAAATTTGGAAAAAACGTTTTCACGTAAAGTATGGAAAACGCGTTTGCTAAAACGTTTTCAGTGGGAAAACGTGGTTTCTAACCACGCTTTCAGCCTTTTTCCTGAAAAGCCTTTTTAAATAATTAATTAATTAAAATATAAAGTGTGGAAAAAAGTAATTATAGAAAAAAGTAAAACTTTTTTTGGTATATATAAATAATTAAGATAATTAATTTTACACCCATATCACACACACGCATTTATATAGTAAATAAATGAAAATAAAATTAATTTATTCATTATATTTATTTTAATAAAACATCCGACTTAAGTTTTAAATATATATAAATTTTATTTTATAAAATTGAGATCAATATGAAATATATATAATAATAATGTATAATAACAAATAATAATCAATTAATAAAAAAAATGATCACACTTACACCCATAATAATATGAAATTTTATTGTATTTCCACGCGCTCTCTCTGTTTTGTTTACACCCATATCACTTCACTTGACATCCACACACGCTTATAATTAATAATTAATAATTAAATAAAAATAAATAATTTTATTCATTATATGTATTTTAATAAAATATATGTAATTTTAATATATATAAATTTGAGTTTTATAAAATTAATACCAATAAAAAGACATCAATCATATTTTTTAAATTGAGGCCAATATTAAAAATATATAATAATAATTTATAATAATAAATAATAAATATAATCAAAGATATGTAAAAATAATCAAACCAATAGAGTGATTGTTATTTTTCTTTAAATATATATTTTTAAATTATTAGTCTCATTTTAGAGATAATCAAACCAATAGAATGATGGTTATTACTGTTGAAAAGATGAATGAGTTCAGAAATCTTGTGTTGTTCCGTTACAAACAATGATAATAACAACAGCAACCACAACAACACAACAACAACGACGGACGACGACAACAATTGAGTTGCTTAAGCGAATTGAAAGAGTATCGGTTTATGATAAAGCGGTCGGTTGACCAGATAGCTGTTTCGTTTCAATTACATTCATCCAGGGAAACCCTCCCACTCTCCCTCCCAGGTAAGCACGCCCAATCTGTCGCCACAATCTGAATTAATTTTAATGAGAAAGAAAGCGAGAGAGAGAGTTCCTAGTTTTGAGATATCTCATAATAATTGAAAAATCAGCATATCTCTGTTCTGATTTTGTATTTTGAATATAATTTAGTTCCCCATATATTTATTTATTTGTGACGAGATCTGATATCGTAATTTTTCTTGATCACGAATAACTATTGTTAAAATTGTATGAATGCTACTGCAGCACAGATGACCAGAGAGCCGTTTATAATTATATAAGTACGAGTATTAGCCGTAAATCTTTAGGAAAAAAAAAATATGGACGATGACAACAACAACAACAATAACAATAACAACAGCGACAACGACAACAACGACGACAACAACAACGACAACGACGACAATGACAACGACAACAAAAAAAACAACAATAACCACAACAACGACGACGACAACGGCAACAACAACGACAATGATAACAACCACAATAACGACAATGACGACGACGACGATAACAACAACAACAACAACACTCTGGGAGAAAAAAAAAATGTCGACGTCGACGACGACGACAACGACAACAACAACCACAACAATAACAATAACAACAATTGAGTTGCTTAAGTGAATTGAAGCGGTAACGGTTTTTGACAAAGCAGTCGGTTGACTAGCTAGCTGTTTCGTTTCAATTTCATAACAACACCAACAACAACAACAATTGAGTTGCTTAAGCGAATTGAAGCGGTAGCGGTTTATGACAAAGCAGTCGGTTGACTAGCTAGTTGTTTCGTTTCAATTTCATTTCATCAGTCTATTATTAATTTATCAGTAGCAGAGAGATCAAGATCGAGAGAGCGCGCTGTAAGTCCCCCGACTCGCCAACAAACACGTAGTGAAAAAGCAATCCCCCGATCTCCGAAACCCTCCCACTCTCCCTCCCAGGTAAGCACGCCCAATCTGTCGCCACAATCTGAATTAATTTTAATGAGAAAGAAAGCGAGAGAGAGAGTTCCTAGTTTTGAGATATCTCACAATAATTGAAAAATCAGCATATCTCTGTTCTGATTTTAGTATTTTGAATATAATTTAGTTCCTCATACATTTATTTACTTGTGACGAGATCTGATATCATAGTTTATCTTGATCACGAATAACTATCGTTAAAATTGTATGAATGCTTCTGCAGCACAGACAACCAGAGAGTCATTTGTAATTATACAAGTACAAGTATCAGCCGCAGATCTCTGGGAGAAAAAAAAAATGTCGACGACCAAAGCAGCAGTAGCAACAGGTGCCTCTCCAAGCCTTCCGAAATCCGGAGCCATTTCAAAAGGCTACAACTTCGCTTCTACTTGGGAACAGGTTTCATTCTTCCTTGTTTCTTTATCCATTTTTTATATATCTATCTCTATATCTATATCTATTTTTGGTGTCTTTGCAAAATGTTTGCTTTTTGTCAAATATTTTAAGGTCTGCATATGCCACAATGGCATCCAAGGAGGTTGTAGTTTTCTTCATTTTCCCCCTTTTTTCATTTCTCCTTCATTTGATCTGTGGTTTTCTTATGTGTTTTGATTTTGTGATTTGGTTAAATTTGGTTTGCTGATTTTAAAAATAAATTATGAGGAATTATGTGTTGTGTTATGGCTGGTCATTATAGGGACAAGAAACCCATATTAGGATTTTGGAAATCGGAAAACGAGGGTTTCTATTTCCTAAAAATATGCGAAAAATTAGTTTTCCATTTCGCAAATTAGGTTTTGATGATATATTAGATATACACACTATACAAAATACATGCCCCCTCTCGATAAATTTTCCAGCTTTGCCACTGTGATCTGTTTGTGTGTTTGGGTGTTTTATTTATTCATTTATTTATTTATTTTTTTAAAGTAGTAAAACCACATTTGGTAGAGGTTTTGTGGGTGAGTCATTATGTCCTGCAATTTTTGTTTGTGCAGAATGCTCCGTTGACAGAGCAGCAACAAGCAGCAATAGTAGCACTTTCTCATGCATTTGCCGAGCAACCTTATCCTGTCAAATTGGTGAGACTTATCACTGTGCTATAATGCGTTACAACCTCTGTGAATGCTTATGTTTCAGTGCAACAATTTCATGCCAATTAGCGAGCTTTTGCTTTTGTAGTCCCAGGAGCGTGTACATGGACAAGATAATGGTTTGTCCATTTCAACTAAGCACTGCACTGTGGAAGAATCGGGGGCTATTGAAGCAGTTTTGGTCAATACGAATCAGGTAAGCCACTTGATTTCTTGTCTTCGTTTTTTTTTTTTTTTCCTTCTCTCTTTTTTAAATAAGCAAGAAAATATATCAATTGAAGACTGCAATAGGAGAGTAGAATCCATTTGCATATACAAGGAGGGGCTAAATCTTATTTCTACCCAAAAAACTGAATCTAGCAGTAGACTCCACAAAAGGATCTATAGTAGAAAGCCCATGCTTTGAGAACCAAAAGAATGTAGAATATTCAAAAAAAGAGGTAGCGTAAGATTTCACACTAGCCACTCAACATCCTCAAATGACCTTCTATTATGCTATAGCCAAATGCTTCTAGAAAGACAAAGAAGGTTGGTTTTTCAGACAAAGAAATGTTTAGCTTGTTACCCATCCTTTTTGGATTCAACATCCATTAGAAGCACCTTCTCCCCATTAGCAAGGTTTTCAACAGAAAAAACAATGATGACAGCTGTCTTCATAATTGTTTAGCATGCTTTCTTAGACAGGTAAAAATAAATTTATGGGAATTGAATATTTTTTTTCATATTTGACTCTGAACAACATTTTTACTACAAATGATCATCATTCTTTCTCAGATTCAAAGAATGTCAGTTTTACTGTGATATTTGTCTTTGGGTTAAACTGCCCTGTTATATCAAATGGGAGTCCTCTTTTTCAATCTTATGGCACCGACTTTTCTTCCTATGTAACAATTCATGGAGTGACTAAAGCATGGGAGCTTTGTGCATGCTGAAATGCATTATGACATGTTGGGTGAGATTGTTTCATTGTTCAAAAAAGACCAATTACTACTCCTTTAAGATGTCAACTTTTGTTGAATGCATTCTAGGAAAGTTGATGTAACAAGAAAGATTACAAAAAAAGCATCACTATATACACTAACAGTGAGTACAGCCCTAGACAAATCAAAATGGTGAAATAGGGTTTATGTAGCCAAAATGCTATGTTTGGTAGGTGAGAAAAAGAGAAGAGAAGTTAAAATAAATGAAGAGAAAAGACAGGAAAGAAGGGAAGGAAAATTATTTCTCATGGTTGAGAAAGGAAAATGTGGAGAGCAAAATCTTTAAATTTTGTTTATATATTTGTATCTTTCGCTTAATCTATTTCATGTAACAACTTTTGTGCAAATTTCCTCTCATTCGTGGTGAGCCCATGAAGAAAGTTTTAAAATGATTTTCTCCATAATTTTTCCCCCTATACTCTTTTAAAATGGAGAACCATAACAAGAGAAAAGAAGAGAAAACAAAAATATTATACTTTTCTCTTCCTTTCCCATTTAGCAAGCACAAAATGAATATTTGGCTGGGGCACTCACCCAAAAAATATTTGAGTAGGCCATTCACTATGTAATTGTCATACTTTTTGTGGTCCTTGGTTCCCTAAGTTCTCTACCTTATTACTATCTCATTTCCCACCATGTACCCCACATTTGAAATGCCATTAAGAGCAGTTTGAGAAAATTTTGATAGCAGTATATAGTTCCTTATGGTTGTTTCATATGTGCTAAGTTTTGTGAGTGCTTTGTAATTCAGATTTCACTGTGAAAGATAATTTTCTATATCTGTTGCTACTTTTGGTGTAGTTTTACAAATGGTTTACAGATCTTGAAGCAGCCATGAAATCAGTCGGAATCTGTCTTAATGCAATGGTCGTATCAGGTACCCCTTTTTGTTGCTTTTAATTTTTTTTTGTTTTTTGTTGCGCACTTTAATCTGTCTTATTCCAATTGTCCTATCAGGTACCACTTTTTACTTTTGAATTTATAATGAGACGTATTGCAGTGTTTTGAAAAGATGATAAAAAATTATTTTTTGGTTTTTTATTAAGTTTTTTGATTTTTTTGAAAAGTGATTTGTAAAGTTGGTAAAAATTTACTTTTTACTTTTTGATTTAATATTTATTTATAATGTCACATCATAATAAAATGATCAAAATTTCTCACATAATTTAAGAAATTTATTTTTTAACCCATGCGAATCATTTATCTACTTGTTAGAATAGGGAGGATAGTTATGTAAATTCACACTTTACGCTTTGCCAACTTACCAAATGTGTTCCAACTTTTGTAGCTTTTATTTGGCTGCGTTTTTGGTTGGCAAAACACAGCTTTTTTTGTGAGTTGCCAAAAGACCACATTGTATCAAGCTTCAAATCTTTATCATGAATAATTATTAGATATTTTTAAAATATTACTTATGCAATTTTTTTGACAAAAAATAAGACTTTGTTTGAGAAGAAAAAGTTCGGGACTTTTTAATTATTTTAGTCACAAAAAAATAAAATAGATTCGATAAGATAAAATATCGCATTCAACTCATAATCATTACATTTTTTCTCTCACAAAAGTCAAAAAAAGTCAAAAAAATTCATCACAAATGAGACTTCTTAATCTAGGCTAAAATAGTCAGAAAAGTCAAAAAACTAAAAAATCAACTCATTTCTCAAATAAACCCTAAGTAAACAATGCATGTGATATTTCAAAATTATTAAATAATTACCAATTAACACCATGACCGAATTTAGTGTTGGAATCTATGTAATTCCAATACTATTCTTTATAATATTTAAAGGTGTTTTAAGAATTGACTATTTTTGTGATTTTTAAATTTTTATAAAAAAAATATACAAAAATAGAGAAAATAGTTTATTTTTTTATAATTTTTTTTTTACTTGTTAACTAAAATAGTGAGTGACCTTTGTAATTGATGGTTTTTTGATGTATGATGCTCTATACAAATAAAAAAATTGTTCAAAATTATCATATATATATAATGAGGAGACATTTTGTATTTTTTAACTAAAATACGTACAATTAATATTAATAATTATAAAAATATCATTATCACGTTATTATGATGGATGATTTTTCTTTATAAAAATTATATTTAGAGATAATTTTCTAGTGCGGATAGTTGGTGGAACATCGCAAGAACCAAAAGTTGAAGCACATGGCATGGGTTGCACATTGCACTCACCAAAAAGTGTGTTATCCTTCTCTGTTGGAAAAAATAAAATGGAGGATAGAATAAGATTAATTTTTATTACATGAGCAAAAGGTGCAAAAAAAACAACCCCCCAAAAAAGTTTTTCAACTCCCAAAAAAGTTAATAAGCTGTAAACCCAACAATTGTTTAGAACGGTGGAATTAGCAATTGACAATGAAATTTGATGCGTTTGAAATAGATGGAATTTAAGATTGATTTTGTGAGATTTGAATGGAATTTAAAATGAAAAAATGTTGGGTTTCATGAGAATTGGAAATAATTATCTTTGGAAACAAACTATTTTAGTAACTTTTTATTTTTTTGACTAAAATATGAAAAGATGTAACAAAATGTAGCAAGAAAAAAGAATTTTTAACTTTTTTGTGTAATTTGTTAATTTTTTTACTTTTTTAATAATCTATTGACTTTTAAGCTAAAATCAAAAGTTGCCAAACAAAATTTTAATCTCATTACTCACACAACT